CTACCAAGCGTGGTGACGTAAGTATGTTTTGGTACGAAACTATATTTTGAGAAACCTTCCTACCAAGCGTGGTGACATAAGTCTGTTTTGGTATGGAAGTGAGTTTTAAAAGGTAGTTCCCCCAGACGTGGTGACTTATGTCTGTTCTGGCTTGGAACTGAGATTGAGTACTTTCAGACGTGGTGATTTATGTCTGTTCTGATAAGTAGCTCTGTTAAATTGGAGGAATAAGGGTGGCATATCAAGGAGAGGTGTACTTGGAACAAGGGTGGCATTGTCATATGTGGATGTTACTATTATAACTCTTATTATTATTACTAAATTGRATTTAATAACTTTGAATCATCATTTCTTTGTGACCTGATGAATTAAAGATATTATTCCTATTTAGAAGTGATAATTTAGATGTTATTGAGAATGGGAAAATGGTTTGACATATCAGGCAAGTTTTGCCTTAAATCTTTCCTATTAAAGGAATGGTATTTTAATTCAAAGAGTTTTGATACTGGGAAAGATCTCTGTCTAGAGATATTTTAAAGAAGTGAGAATTTTTGGGTATACTTCTTTATATATGATATTGAAAACTGCATATTTATTATATTGCGGTATCTTTCTAAGCCAAGATTATATTATCATATTTTGGTGTTTGGCACCCTGCATTTGCAAACAGGGGATTTACTCACTAGACCCGTATGGTCTAACCCTCATTTTCTGTTTTAAATTATGCAATGCAGGAATAGCTGGGTCCAGGGATATTAAAGGGAAAGGGAAAATGTTTTCCTAATCTGTTTCCTGTTTTTTTGAAGATACATGTTGTAATTCATGTAGTAGTACAGGATTAGTTTTGGAAATTTTATATGTAGATTTTGTACATATAGCAATCCATGTACTAGTGGGACCTTTTGATGTAATCCATGTTTCTATGTAATGAAATATATGTTTTATACAAATGTGGAGTATGGGGTGTTACATTATTACAATTGATTATCCAATTATAATTATTCAATCATTCAATGTCACATGATCACTCTGAAAACACACATCCAAACACTTCTTAACTGTCATAACGTAGATTATATATGGTCAAGTGATCATTTTATAAGTTCCCACTCATCTGTCCTAATGGTAGAGTTGTCGGTCTAATCCGTATGAGTTACATCATGGGTTTGAGCATTGACACTGTTCCCTTGTAACCGGGATGTATACGCTGATTTACCTCCTATATAATGATCGTGAGGCCGATGCGATGGAGACGTCTTTTCTTTCCCACTTTGATCACTCTATAGTCCTTACACTTGCTCAAATCTCCAAGGCTAATTTGGAATCCCTCACATATCATCAAATCAATTTACAAGGGAAATGGGTTCGAGTCTTGGAATCGACAAATGACACCAAGGGCACAACCAAGATGTATATTTAAAAGGTGGTTCGAAAGATCTTTTGGGGTTATATAATTTTTTTAAATATTGAGGGTGGGACTATGCTAATGTTGGGCATAAGCGGTGGGCACGCACAAAGACAAAGATCCCATGGTTGAGGAATTGCAATCAAAGTTGGAAATGAAAGAAAAATTATCAATTAAGTTAAGCATTCATAAACTTAACTCAACCGATAAATAAAACCAATTTGAGGACTCTAGGCTGTCAGTTTGAGTCTATTCATGATCATTTGAGATTTTTTTATTATTATCTTTAGAGCCACATAGGATTAACCAAGATACATTATATATGTAAATTGACCCACCATATGGGAAAACACCATATATGTGAAGATGTTAGTACATAACTAATACAAGTAACACAATTTAAAATGTCTTTTTCATGCATGCCAGTTGCCAACCAAACTCGAGGCAAACCCTTATGAACAAGAAATAACAAGTTGTGACACAATTGAATTGTCTTGAAATTCAATTTGTTCATCAGTGGTACGTACATAATGGTTCTAGCCAAGCAAGCCATAGGTGGTGAGATCGGATGCTGTGGTTCCAGCTGTCACAACATGAAGATTGTTTTGATGGTCCGGCTGCAACCGGAGAGTCAGCATGTGTGGTGCACCCATCTGAGGGTATGCATATATGTTTTCGTAATCTCTTCCATCCTCTATCATCCCGTATTGTGGATCCTCTCCTCTTATATCCTGCATTTTTATGTCCATTAATTGCTATACACGTACATAGGGATACAACCAAAAGAAAACAACAATATATTTCATCCATCTCAAAATAAGTGTCTAAATTTCTATTTTAGTTTGTCCTAAAATAAGTGTCCTACTTTTAAAAGTAAATGTCTATTTTCCCATTTCATTCTTAATTATGAGATTCTTTCTATCATTGTTTCTAAGGGTAAATTGTCTTTTAGTTAACTAAAAAGTGTAATAATTACACACTCTTAAAACTGTGTGTCTTTTTTATGGTGGACATTTATTCGGGCTTTTATTAGAAGTTTGTACCAAACCTTGTCTTAGAGGCCGTTTACCAAACGCTCACTTGCAAGAGACATTGCCCTCATTTACTTTATCGTCTAACATTTCCGGTCATCAAAATAGATTGTTGGTAAGTGACTTAAACCTCGTAAGAGTCTTTTCCCTCAATTATCCGTTGACATATCTCTTACCATGTAAAATTCTTAGTTCTTTCCATACTACCGATAAGTGATATCGATAAACGCTTATTCTGTAAGTGTTTAGTAAACGACCCATTGGAATTAAAAATTCGTATAGACTTATATATGTAGAATGTCACATATTAACTTCAAAATCAGCATGACTAAGTAACTATTTCAGAAAAATCAATAAAATAGATTTACGTCCTTCCACTGCTATTTTTTTCTCCTTTTGTTGCTCATCATTTACTAGTCTTAGTTGTTCTTACTTTTTTGCCTAGACTTTTGCATAAGTCTTGAGATCTACATGAAACAACTACTTTACCTTTGTAGAGTATGAAGTAGGTTTATATGTATCCCACCTCCCAAATCCTGTTTATAAAGTGGATGGTATTTTTGAGGTTTCGTTCAATTTTTCATCTTTTTTTTGTCAAAATGTATTTAATTTGCAACAAGAGTTGAAGTTAATAATACTTACGAATTCATGCATCAGCTTTTTGTATACATCTTGGGCGCTCCTCACCTAAAAGAGAAGGCACAACTAAGGTTAAAAAAAAAAAACAAATTTTGCAAAATAATTAAATGTAACCAAGGAGCTTAAGAAAAATTAGTATTTAAGAATTTACCTTCTTCTTAGAAGTCTCCACTTTATTGCCAATAACTTTGAGCTGCATTTTTGGTTAACAAACTTTGAGATGATAAGTTTCAAAATTTTCAAATACATAACCATAACAGATATTTTTCAAATGTACCATATATATACGTCATTAATATTAAAAAAAGCTTGAAAAGAAGATTAATATGATATAGTCATTTTATGCATTGGATGAAGGACATGTCTGATAACATCTGAACTCTACTTTCCAGTGAGATATATGAGGCCATGTGGTTTGGTTTATGTTTAAGAAAGAAGAATAAATAAGCATATTATGTTCAAAAGAAACGAACCTTGCGCTCACGAATAATGTACACAGCCTCCTGTGAATCTTTTTCGAGTGCGAACAACTCTTCAAACCCTAGATCTTCCAAGCAATCACCCAATCTTTGTCTGAACAGAAATTATCAACAAAAAAACCACAAAAGAAGTATTTTTAGATTTTTGCATATAAAAGAAAATAGAGTAGGTTTTAGTTGTCGTTACCTAATTTGTTTCCTAAGATTTCTGTTCACCTCTTTTTGTTGTCTCAGTTCCTCTTGCATTTTCTGCAATACATGTAATAGAAAACAAGAAATAGAACTTCGAACCAATTATATATATATATATATATATCTACGTATTAAAGAAAATTGTTATTGACTACCATCATTCTTTTTGCAAATATTTGTTTTAACCAATAATTGTTTAATTGCCCTCCAAACCATTGTTACAAAAACCTTTAGTATATTGATTCTATTTTTGATGATATATAGAAGTTAATCTCAAAATGTTTTAATTTATGTTAACACGATAAAGGGCATTTAAACTTTTGAATGCTAGTTAAGTGGTTGTACTAATTTGCATGGGAGATAAATATTGATGATTAATTTAATTTGTTTGTTAACTCACTAACACATGCCTGTTTTATATTGTGTTTATTTCATACGTAAACAAACATATTGTAGAACAAATATTGTAAATTAATATCATAAATCTTAATCTTTGACCGAGAAAAAATCATATAAAATAGCACATGATGCATTAGTTTTTTGGGTTCTTGTAATTTTATACATTCTCAAACAACTAGCCCAATATGTTGAACTACTAATATTTATTCTGGTTAAAATTCAGCCGGATTACTTAGAAACATTTTAGATAAGGTAACGTGTCACTTATATCAAAACACTTCACAAAGCACAGAATTTTCCTTGAGAGTGACCATCATTTTCACATACTAACATGCATCCAATCCAAGGACAAGATCCACAGTTTAGTTGGATACAAATATAGCCTTAGGCATTCAAACATAGAATGTAAAATAAAATACGAAGAGTTAGAGGATAGAGCTACTCTAACATTGGCTTTTGACAATGCAAACAGTTAGAATATGAAGCCATATATAACAAATAAAAAGGGGGGGGGGGGGAATAGATCTTAAGGGAAAAAATGCATCACCAAAATTATTAGAATCGTTAGATAGTTGATAGTCCACTTAGTTTAGGAAATCACTTTTGCACGAAGTTTTTCATTGAATTTCTGAGTTCTGTAGAACCCTTAACTATTTTCAACGAATAAATTATTTTGTAAAATTAATTTATGAATTTTGATACGTGTAGTTATTTCATAGGAATTTCAAAATTTGGTCATTTGTGGTTGGTCCATATCAATTGTATCTGATTGAAGATATTCTTTTATAAAATCTTATTTGTATTCTTATACTCTTTACTTTTTAAAAGAAAATCTTATTTACTACTTATGTCTTATTGGTTAAGACATTAGTTGTGATAAGAGTTTAAAACATCTTATATAGCACCTCTCTTTTTGCATAAGAGTAAAGTCATATATTATAAGCTTCTTGTTGTACTCTTATTTCACTAAAACAAAAATAAAAAAGTTGGAACCCTAAAAAACAAGAGGTGGTAATCAACTCGAGCTTTACGACCCCGTATCATGACAAGAGAACATTTAAAAATTAGGAACATCTAACATAAAAATCTCAATAGCACAAAACTTAGTACTCACGATTACTAATATTTATTGTAAGTTTTAATTAGCATTTATGGTTTTTCATTTGATGGTAATAGTTTTTTTAATATTGATAACTCTCATTATTTTTTAATATTCAGACATTTATTAGTTTATAAAAAACAAACAATCTTATTGATATTATTATAGACTTCAATATTACCTCTTATTATCGCCTTTAAAAAAACAAACAAAATATTTCTAGATTTCAGTTATATCTACGATATATTATTAGAGACAAAATCCATAAACAGTATTATTGATTTCATGCTTGTTTATTTTTGTTTATTTTTATTTTTTCTTCAACTTTTCTCAAAGTACAGAACTTTTTATTATTTAAAGAATATGATGATAATTTTGCAACTGTTCCCAAGTTGATGACCTATTGACCTGTAACTCTTTGGGACAACATTTATTTTTGCATTCTTGAAATAGAATGATTAACCAACATCTTCGATCATTCAATGATCAAAAATACTATTCATTATATTTTTTCGTTGATATACTTTTGTAACTCATTTTATATATGGTAGTTAACATTTATAGTATTTGAAATGAGCTACAGCATGATCATAACTGTTGAAGATGCTCTTATCGAATCTTTTGTTCATATAGTGAAGATACTCGTGCTTTTGTTCCTCTGAATATGTCGAACCATTTTATCTTGTTCTGCTGTTCATGATACATAAATGATTACAAGGTAAAATGATTACAAGGTAAAATGATTATCTCTAAGCTAAACTCATCTTTCAATCATATTATTTCTTCGTTTTAAGAGTGTTAAAACGAATTTTTCTTTGTGTTCATTACTGGATTAAAGTTATTTTCACAAAGCAATCGATATATTAACTTATATATAATCATTTGATATTTTATTTTCATTAAGTTAATCACATTTACTTTGTATTTAGTATTTGTAACATGAAGATAGTAATAATATAATCCAATCTTCTGTTTTAACATCTACAAAATTTTGAGGTAAAATTATTCATGTGTTATTGCGATCATCGAAATAGTTACCTGATAGTGGGAGTTCCAGAGATCGATTCCTGATGCCTTCTGATACTGATCGAAGAACTGTTTCATCCTGATCCGAAGATTCATCCACAAGCACACAATCAAAATTAATACGATTCAAAAATTAGCAACTGACTAATGATTAGTACTATAAAAGTAGCTAACAAAATGGATCAATACTTACGTAATAGAAGGACTGATGTATTCGTGAAGCTTATCAGTACAGGAGACCATGATAATCGACACCTTTGCGTCACACAACACAGTGAGTTCACTCGCCTTCTTAAACAATCCATTCCTCCTCTTGGAATACGTTACCTGCCTGTTCGTCGAGTTCTCTATCTTCTTTATCTGGATCTTTCCTCTCGCCATTGATTTTTCTCTGTGGATCTCCTTTTTTTAGCAAAGCTTTGTCAATCTATCGATCTATCCAAAATGTTGTTCTCATTAGGTTTTCGCAAAAGTTGAGAGAATAACACAGAAAATTGTGTTTGAATTTGTGTGGTGGGGAGAGAAACACACAGAAAGTGTGTGTGAGAGGGATTGGGAAGGAAAAGGAAACAGGAAGAAAGGATGGTGGAAGTGTTGCCAGAAATGGGAAGGTTTGCCCAAACCGCGAAAAGGATAGGAGAGATTCATAAAGCCATTTAATTACCCATTTACATTTGGGATGTACCCTTTATAAAAGGGTATTATGGTAATTTCATATTGCATTGTTGTTGTTATTGTTATACACATCTTAATTAGGTTTAAATGCACCAACATTTAATTATCAATGTATTTTTTGAAAAGTAATTACTTGCATCTTGATTTGATTTTCTCGATACTAATCATGATTCATGACTCTCTTGTCTTGTCTACGAGCTCAGTGGTACCTTGGTAGTTGGTACTCCTTGACCTCGAAACTGACATCAACAGGCTGGATTCCATGAAATCTTGTAGACAAATTGACAATAACGTTGGCTCCAGACCACCTTGATGGTTACTTTAATTGACAAATAAAAGGCTAGGTCTTGGAATTCATTCCCATATTCGTCAAGTCAAGTCTCTTTAACCACAAGGGTGGTGCATCATTGGTTTGAGCTTGGCTCCAAATGTCAAAAGTATCTGGAGATCTCAGGTTCAAATCTAAAGAGAAATAAAAATCCTCTTGTGGCCATGGAGGTTCAATTGCGGTGACTCCGAGTTATCTGTAAAGCAGGTGGTCGCCCTGGGATTAGTCGTCTCGTATAGTGGGTTGGATATCCAGGTTAATAAAAAAATCAAGTCTCTTTAAGGCAAGATAAGATTTTCTTGGTTGTTGTCTTTAAGACCTTGTTAGATGAGTGGATATGGGTGCAAATTGCCGAGACACCCACGGTTACCCCCCCCCCCCCCCAAAAAAAACAAGGGCCTCAACTTCAAGTACTTCATGGAGTCGCATGAGTTCCAAGGCGAACAATGAGCTATTATTCCAAGACGATGATGGGATAAAAATAAGACCGATATCTACGTCAGTAGCAAGCGGGATGATGCATATATAGAATAGACGTTCAATACATATGAGCGAATGAGTTGCAAGTAATGCTATAGAAATTAGTTTTCAGAGGGAATGAGATATGAAAGTGGAGATAATGATATTGTCTATTGAAAAGATGGTCGACAAATCAATCGACGTCTAACTTAAGAGACATCGGTAATATTCCAGCATCAACCATTAAGAGCAAATCTAAAAGTTAATAGGTATAAATCATTTTATTGGCTTGAATAGCGTTATTTCCATTTCTTAAATGACTACTTTAATCAAACCATTTTCTTTAGCATAAGTAGTTTTATGACATCATATTTTTTGAAATATGATATAAAAAAAAATTGAACCATGGTGAGTTTTAAGAGAACACATTTTTTAAGCGTAGATGATATGTAACACAAGATCAATTTTTTAACGATTTTTTTTATAAAATTAAATAACAGTTTTCATAAATGACATGTAACACAAGATCAATTCATTTATTATTCACACATTAAAAAACTTAATTGTTGGTAGTTATCAATCTTAATGGTTGTATTCTAAAGATTTTTCATATAATCCAATAGTTAATATTGTAATTAGATATAACGGATCTGGTAGTATTTGATCTGATGTTATACTACATACTTATATGTGCATGTATTTACTATATACAATACATCATACACATCTTTTCCTTGAGAAGATTCAGGGCTAAGGCGTGTATGTACATATTTACAAGAATTAAGTTGTGGGCTACTTATTTCAACATAGTTTTAAATCAATTAGATGTTACTGAGTCAACATGTTATTTTAAGTTTGGGACCTGACATATAGTGTTGGAATAATAGCCTCTCGGGATGTAGTGAGTTAGGTTAGACTCATGCATATTATTGGGATATTGATTATGTGTGTGCATATAAGCCTGACGAGGACATAATGAATTTATGTGGAAAGTTTGCAATAATTATCGTATCCGTGATGAAAGTGAAATATGCGAGCTTGTAATCTCACTTATGTAAGGTTTGTAAGTTCTTTATGATTTTTTATTAAGTTGTAGACATTTTTATCATGATTTTAAGTTGATTTGAAGGCTATTAAATCAGCTTTCTACTTTAAGATTGGGAGGTTACTTTTAAGACGTGAAACTGATACGATGTCTTATTGAATTAATATATTTTAGTTACGTTTGATTCTATTTTAAGTAATTAGGGGACATTTTGGTGGATTCCAGTATTATGTATTTTCTTTTCTTCGTTGTGACCGTAATAATTTGATTATTGGGATGATTTATTACTACATTGAAACTACACACACATATAAAATATAGTTTAGTGGGATGTTCAAATAAGAATGCTAAATATCATGAGAAAGAAAGGTTCATATGTAAACCATTGAAAAACTCTATTTGAAGATGCATATATGAACTCATATAAATAATCTGTAATGTTGGTTCACATATGCGATATTCAAATAGGTTTTTTTTCAATGATTCACATATGAACAATCTTTTAACATTACATTATTATCTTCTCAAGGTGTTTACTCTTCTCATTTGGATCATGCCCTATTTACGTACATATCATATAGATAAGACCAAGGACCTGGAAATGGGAACAATTAACATAATTTATTTTCATATTTTCATTTGTACCAAACCGGATCTGGAGATGGGAACAAATTTTACATACTAAAAAGTCCAACAGGTTACATAGTCAGGTGTTATAACCTAGAACGAGGTATAGGAAAGGTGAATATGGGGTAATCTATTAGTGTACAGATTTGAACTCCAACAAAAGATTTACCTTACAGTAGTTTGCATTCATTTTGATCAATTATGATGAATTTGAAGATTAAAAAGCATGGAAATTTATGCTTAATTGATGTTGTCAAAGTTGGTTTTCATTTTGTAATACATCATTGCCATTGATCCCAAACACCTTCTCAAGACAAAGAAGGTGACAATCTCCAAACTTTGAGAAATCTGTATAACTTTATATAGGAGAAAAAAAATATTTTAATCGTTTCTTCAAGAGAAGGTTACTAAAAATGTAAGTTTATAACAAAGAAATAATATTTTATTAAATGTATTGAATATTTCAATAATATAGTTAATGACATACTTGCTAAAATACAGTAATTATTGAAATTGAATATTCGAGCAACCAACAATATTAATCTTAAATTTATATATCGGCTTATTTGCAATTTCAAACAATAAAAAAGTTATAAGGGGGATGAAAAATAGAAGAAAGTAGGAAGCACAAATGAGGATATGAGTTCCCAACTCTAGAATTAAATTGCATTGTACATAGGGGCGGATGCAGCCTTTACGCATTGGGGAAAGGTCCTCAGTCAAAAACCAAAAACTTTTGTTGACTAGCTTAAATTTTTTATTTTCACTCTCGTCTTACATGGTTTCCCCGCAGTCCCATATGGCCATATGCTTCCCTCCTCCAAGTTCCATCCAACGTGCCCCCACCCCATTAATTTATTGGATCCGCCATTGATTGTACATGATATACAGAGTAGATTAATTATATATACACATCATATAAATAGAAACATTCTTAATATGTCAATAACCAATAATCTTACCTAGTAAAAGTGATGGCAATGACCGAAAGTCTTACTCATTATGTGAAGGTGACGACTCTTACCCGGTTAGCGCCTACCGGGTAAATTGTTACATATGGTGCCATTGATGGACTACAATCTTATTCGGTAAGGTAGGTGACATAATGAATTTCAACGATAAGTGCTTAAAACACTTGGGTAAACGGCCATAAATAGTAATTTTTGTCAATGTGTTTTATGGAGTTTTTTTGTTTTCCTCCTGTAATTCGTTTATTGCTTAAAACCCTTGAGGTAACGTTTTTCCTTTCGTTTTTGTCCCTCATCCTGACGGCTCCCTGTTGTTATTTTTCAACCGTTGAGTGTCCATATATTCCTTTCACATGAGGGTAATTTGATATTTTACCATCGGTTTTTTTAGTATTTATCTTTCTACTTCTTCATCGTTGTTTATCGATTACTTTCTTAAATTATTATTTTATTTATTATAATCATTAACCAACACCACCAACGATAATCACCATAAAAATCATATTTGAACATCCATAATCCGCCATAGAAGAACATCTCTAACCCATAAACATTTAGCAAAATTCACATCTACACCTTCACAAACATTCAAGAATATTTATAAACCCTTAGGGGACGTTTGGTTCGCGAAATTTGAATGATAAATTCATTTGACCAAATTCCAATTCATTTGTTTGGTTCATTTCTTGAAATGGATGGAATCCTTCAAATTCCATTGAATTCCACAAGTTAATGAATTCACCATTCCTTGGCATAATGGAAGGAATTGAATTCCATCACCACCCACCACGATCATGCTACTATTGTTCATGATGCCCCACCGTTAACCCCCACCAGTGATGTTGTTGCCACCCACCCTACCCCACCCTAACCACTATACCACTACTGTTGTCATCACACCCACCCACCCTCTGGTCACTCACTACACATCCCTACTACGACTATGCTACTAACGTTATTGTCACACCCCTAACCTAACCCCCACCACCACAACATTATTGTCGTCATCACAACTGCCATTCACCCTACCGCATCCTACCCTAACCACCACTAGCCACTATGTCACTACTGTCGTCATCATACCCACCCACTCCCAATCACCCTGACCATCATCCCACCACTATCATCGTCACAACTGTCACTGATCCCCACCTCCCCGCCCATGCCGCTCTTAACCTAACCCTCCACCCCCACACTACTATTGTCGCCTTCACAACCGCCATTCACCCGCACCCCACCCTACCCCAACCCACCACTAAACACCATGCCACTATTATTGTCGTCATACCTACCCACTCCCTGTCCCCAGCCTCCCGACCACTATCCCACCACTAGCATCATCACAACTACCATCCCGCCACCTACCCCTACCCACCCCACCGTCCTGCCTTGCCCCCACCCTACCTTACCCTACTCTAACCCATCACTAACCACCATCCTACCACTGTAATCATCACAACTATCATACTGCCACTTATTGCCCTACTCTGGCTTCACCCCCACTGCCTCGCCCCACCCTTGCCTGCCCGCAACAATCCCCACCTATGGAGCAGGGTAGGGCAGAAGTGGTGGGGGCAGGGCAGGTGATAGTTGTGACGACGACATTAGTGACATGG